AAACCCACAGCCAGCGTGCTGGGGTGTTTCAGCCCTCCCCACCTCCCAGCTCCCACCATTCCTCGCAGCTACTCACCTGGTGTTGTTGCTCGGTGAGTAGCTGCTCCTCAAATGAGGAAATCTAATGTAAATGTACTGTGCAGGTGCGCAGTTCAGAGAGGGCTCAAGAGCTACTCTTAGAGCCCCTGAGATCTACCGGTAGCTCACGATGTACTGGTTGGTGACCACAGTCTTACGGGGCTTGTGGCTGCCAGGGCAGAGCTGGGCCCATGTGTTTGACACTGTGCTGGGATTCTGTTCTGGCTCCCTTCCTTGAGAGTGAGGGTTTGCTGAGCTATACTGACCGGAGGATTGGGCCGTAAGAAATCTGATGAGGTTCAACAAGGCCAGTGCACTGGGGACGGAGGAATCCCAAGTCCTGCTACCACAGTCTTACGGGGCTTGTGGCTGCCAGGGCAGAGCTGGGCCCATGTGTTTGACACTGTGCTGGGATTCTGTTCTGGCTCCCTTCCTTGAGAGTGAGGGTTTGCTGAGCTATACTGACCGGAGGATTGGGCCGTAAGAAATCTGATGAGGTTCAACAAGGCCAGTGCACTGGGGACGGAGGAATCCCAAGTCCTGCTACAGGCTGGGGACCGACTGGCGAAGCAGCAGTTTGGCAGAAAAGGACCCAGGGATTACAGTGGATGAGAAGCTGGAGATGAGTCCACAGGGCGCCCTTGTAGCCACGAAGGCTAACGGCATATTGGGCTGCATTAGTAGGAGCTTTGCCGGCAGATCTAGAGAAGTGATTATTCCCCTTTATTCGGCTCTGGTGAGGCAACATTGCATCCAATTCTGGGCCCCCCAATACCGAAAGGCTGTGTCTAGACCGCATCCCTTTTCTGTAAAAGGGATGCAAATTAGACACATCGCAATTGCAGATGAAGCGGGGATTTAAATCCCCCCGCTTCATTTGCATAAAAATGGCTGCCGCTTTTTTTCGACTCGGAGCTTTGCTGGAAAAAAGCGCCAGTCTAGACACAGATCTTTCGGAAAATAAAGCCTTTTCCGAAAGATCCCTTATTCCTCTTAAAATAAGGAATAAGGGATCTTTTGGAAAAGGCTTTATTTTGCATCTAGACTGGCGCTTTTTTTCCGGCAAAGCTCTGAGTCGAAAAAAAGCGGCAGGCATTTTTATGCTAAAGAAGGGGGGGGCTTTTTTTCCGGCAAAGCTCTGAGTCGAAAAAAAGCGGCAGCCATTTTTATGCTAATGAAGCGGGGGAGATTTAAATCCCCGCTTCATTAGCAATTGCGATACGTCTAATTTGCATCCCTTTTTCGTAAAAGGGTTGCAATCTAGACGTAGCCAAAGGGTGTGGTGGCATTGGAGAGAGTCCAGCGGAGGGCAACCAAAATGATTCGGGGGCTGGAGCACATGACTTATGAGGAGCAGCTGAGGGATTTGGGCTTATTTAGTCTAGAACAAGAGGCAATTTAATACCAGCCTTCAGCTCTGTGAAGCGGGATTCCAAAGAGGATAGAGCTAGGTATTGTCAGTAGTGGCAGATGGCAGAACAAGAAGCAACAGTCTCAAGTTACAGTGGGGGCGCTCTAGGTTGGATCTTAGGAAAAGCCATTTCCCTAGGCGGCTGGGGAAGCGCTGGGCTGGGTTCCCTAGGGAGGTGATAGAATCTCCTTCCTTTGAGGTGATTAAGTCCTGGCTTGCCAGAGCCCTGGCTGGGATGATCGAGTTGGGGTTGGTCCTGCTTTTCGTTGGACTCGCTGACCCCTGAGGTCTCTTCCAGCCCTAGGATTCTGTGACTGCTGGGGAAGAAATGCTTTGCTAAGCCTTGAGTAGACGAGGCCCACAAACCCCCTAACACCTCCGTAGGTGAACACTCAGCTTCCCGTTCCAGATCAGTCTTGGACCTAGTCTGAACTCAGAACAAAACAGTGAGTAATGTAGCTCTGCTCAGCTCAGGGGCAGATGGGACAGAGGCAGACATCCCTGCCCCTCTGTACGCTGAAAAGCAGGGGTCAGCCCGTGATTGCTTCCAGGTGGCACAAGCCCTGAAACACTTTGCACCCTGCAATCATTAGCCTCGCGGCTTCGATGGAACAGGGAGTTGGGGTCCCAGTACCTAGCCCAGACTTGTGCAATAAGAAATGGCTATGGATGAGTAACCTGTAGCAAAGGTCACTGTGAAAAGCACCAGACTACAACTTACATTAGGGAATAAAGGCCGCCCTCACGCACGGCAGGGTGAAGAAAAGTAGCTGAGGCTGAGTCTGTTCACATGCCCGAAGTCCCAGAAAGACGAAGCTTTTCATGCAGAGATAAATCAGATTCCAAATTAAGGTTCTGTTCACCTAATGAGCCAGGAGAGAGAACGGCAGCTAACTGGGCAAGCAAGAGGCCAGCGCGAGGCAGTGTGAGTGCACAATGGTTTATGCATTGAATGAAATCTCGGGCACTGACCCTAGGAGCATGGAAGGAGGCCAGATTTACAAGCTACAGGACCAGAAGCACCTATGACCCGCTTCCCTGGGGCTTGGTTTCTCATTAACACAGCTAGGCTAAAAGGCAACCACGCGTTTCTTCAGCACGCCCGGGACTTAACCGAGCCATGTTAGAGTCAGGGCTGCAGTTCTCTTCCCAACTGCAGATAGATGAATCCAAAGTTAGGAGCCAGGTGATTTGGGGAGCAACCCAGAGACTAGAAAGAGAACAGCACCGCCGTCACTGGGAGGGATCAGGTGAAAGCATCATCCAACCCCCCAAAAAAACAATTACATTAAAAAAGGCAGCTCTCCTAGGGCCTGATCCTGCAGTCCTTCAAGTCAGTGGGTGCTTTGTCATTGCAATGAAATCAGACCCTACCAGCAACAACATGACACACTGTATAAGCCTTATTTCGGAGGAACCACAGACGATGCATAAGTTGCAGTGGCTATGCTGTTTGCCTGCGACATGGTTCCCTACCAGTGGAAGCTATAGGGTAGACAGAATCAGCATTCTCTGTAAGCTGTGCGCTTGGGTGGCCATTCTGGGAAGATTCAAATAGGCAGAGCACCCATAGTTAGGTTTTGTGCTGCTGCTGGTGGTGCACATTTGCACATGCCTTGATGCACATACAATTATTCTGCACACGGAAGAAAACAAATCTGTACATGGATGGAAAAGATTAGAGGGAACAGGTCAGGTCTCCAGCATTCTCACCACCCGCCCGCTCACCCTGTTCTGCACAGATCTAGAGAGCGCAGTGGTTAACAAAACAAAACGAAGGCAGAGGTTTGGCTGGGCTTGTGCAGCACGATGGCTGCACTATTAGAAACCGGGGCTTTGCGCTGCTCTGAAGTCACTTCTTCTCCTTCCCAGCTTGTTCCTGAGGATTGCAAGAGCCCGGGCAGGGGCTGTAGCGCCCTGTGTCTGTGCAGTGCACTTAGTGTAATTGGCCCTCGGCCGCAGCCAGCACTGCTGCTCACAAATACTTGCCAGTGCTGACAAGTGAATCCTGCGTTCCTTCCTCAGCCAGCTCTCCGCCCCGCGTCCAGCATGCAGCCCGGGCCCCGGACACCCACGCTAACCCATGGGTGTGTTTAGGCAGGTCTGCACGGGGCAGCGGGCACGCCCTCAGTCCTGGCCGAGAAAGAGCCGCGCTATCTCCTGGCCCAGCCATCCCGCTTTTGCGACGCCTCTTCTTCCCTTCGCTCGCCCGTTCCAGCCCATTCGCAGCCTTGCTGAGCCTGCAGGATAACAGCAGGAGACAAAGAAACACACAAAACAGAGGCTCAGAGAGGCCGGAGCCCTTGCGAGGTGCCCACCTCCCTCCCCTCCCCTTCCTCAAACACCCCAGGAGCCA